AGGCAGGCAGATCACGAGGTCAGGAGATCAAGATCATCCTGGCTAACACGGTGAAACCCTGTCTCTACTAAAAATACAAAAAAATCAGCCGGGCGTGGTGGCGGGTGCCTGTAGTCCCAGCTACGCGGGAGGCTGAGGCAGGAGAATGGTGTGAACCCAGGAGGCAGAGTTTGCAATAAGCCGAGATAGTGCCTGCACTCCAGCCTGGGCAACAGAGAGAGACTCTGTCTCAATTAAAAAAAAATAAAAATAAAAAGACAAAAAAATAAAAAATAAAAAAATAAAAAGATGATTTTGAAATAATTAGCTAAGATAACGCCCTGATTCATTCACAACATTTACTATAGATAATGAGGTACCTTGAAAAGAAACCATATAGTAAGACATTTAAAAGACCAGAAGCAAATGATAATGGGTTGCTTTAATTTCTTTTAAAATTTCTCCTGGCCGGGCGCGGTGGCTCACGCCTGTAATCCCAGCACTTTGGGAGGCCGAGGCGGGCGGATCACAAGGTCAGGAGATTGAGACCACGGCGAAACCCCGTTTCTACTAAAAAGACAAAAAATTAGCCGGGTGCGGTAGCGGGCGCCTGTAGCCCCAGCTACTCAGGAGGCTGAGGCAGGAGAATGGCGTGAACCCGGGAGGCGGAGCTTGCAGTGAGCCGAGATTGCGCCACTGAACTCCAGCCTGGGCGACAGAGCGAGACTCCGTCTCAAAAAAAAAAAAAAAAAAAAAAATTCATTCCTGATTTCTCTCAAAAGGTACAACCTTTTTTTTTTTTTGAGATGGAGTCTTGCTCTGTCGCTAGAGTGCCACAATCTCAGCTCACTACAATTTCTGCCTCTCGGGCTCAAGCGATTCTCCTGCCTTAGCCTCCAGAGTAACTGGGATTACAAGACCCCACCACCGCGGCTAATTTTTGTGTTTGTTTTTTTTTTTTTGACGGAGTCTCGCTCTGTCGCCCAGGCTGGAGTGCAGTGGCCGGATCTCAGCTCACTGCAAGCTCCGCCTCCCAGGTTCCTGCCATTCTCCTGCCTCAGCCTCCCAAGTAGCTGGGACTACAGGCGCCCGCCACCTGGCCCGGCTAGTTTTTTGTATTTTTTTAGTAGAGACGGGGTTTCACCGTGTTAGCCAGGATGGTCTCGATCTCCTGACCTCGTGATCCGCCCATCTCTGCCTCCCAAAGTGCTGGGATTACAGGCTTGAGCCACCGCGCCCGGCCGTTAGCTCATAATCTTTAAAGGGATCAAGACGAAATCCATGGGAGGCTGAGGTGGGTAGATCACCTGAGGTCACGAGTTCAAGACCAGCCTGGCCAACATGGTGAAACCCTGTCTCTACTAAAAACACAAAAATTAGCCAGGCGTGGTGGTGGGCACCTGCAATCCCAGCTACTTGGGAGACTAAGGCAGGAGAATCACTTAAACCCAGGAGGCGGGGGTTGCAGTGAACCAAGATCCCGCCACTGCACTCCAGCCTGGGCAACAGAGCAAGACTCCATCTTGGAAAAAAAAAAAAGACTAAATCCACATGTTAATAGTGAAAACATTTTGCCAGGGTTACTAAAATAGCTACAGAGGCTGAAGCCCAAGTCACACATGGAAAGACTTTCGTAGAGCTATTCAACATAAGCATGGCTGGGCACAGTGGCTCATGCCTGTAATCTCAGCACTTTGGGAGGCCAAGGCGGGTGGATCACCTGAGGTCAGGAGTTCAAGACAAGCCTGGCCAATATGGTGAAACCCCGTCTCCACTAAAAATACAAAACTTAGCTGGGCGTGGTGGCGTGCACCTGTAGTCCCAGCTACTCGGGAGGCCGAGGCAAAGAATTGCTTGAACCCAGGAGGTGGAGGTTGCAGTGATTTGAGATTGCGCCAATGCACTCCAGCCTAGGCAACAGAGTGAGACTCCGTCTCAAAAAACAAACAAACAAACATAAGCTTATGTCCTCTCTATATGCTAAAACACGAATCTGTTCACAACCATTATAAAGAAACAAATGCAAGCAAATTTTAAACAATTATAATGAAAATAGAAAGAACTAAAAAAGTATAGGTAACTAAGTATATACATAATCCAATAAATTAATCAAGTACAGCATGGGTTCCCAATACTGATCCATGATAAAACTTTTAGCAGCCGGGCGCGGTGGCTCAAGCCTGTAATCCCAGCACTTTGGGAGGCAGAGACGGGCGGATCACGAGGTCAGGAGATCGAGACCATCCTGGCTAACACGGTGAAACCCCGTCTCTACTTAAAATACAAAAAAATTAGCCGGGCGAGGTGGCGGCGCCTGTAGTCCCAGCTACTCGGGAGGCTGAGGCAGGAGAATGGCGCAAACCCGGGAGCCGGAGCTTGCAGTGAGCGGAGATCGCGCCACTGTACTCCAGCCTGGGCGACAGAGTGAGACTCCGTCTCAAAAAAACAAAACAAAACAAAACAAAACTTTTAGCGGTTGGCCAGGCACAGTGGCTCACACCTGTAATCCTAGTACTTTGGTAGGCTGAGGTAGGTGGATCACCTGAGATCAGGAGTTTGAGACCAGCCTGGCCAACATGGCAAAACCCTGTCTCTACTAAAAATACAAAACTGAGCCGGGCATGATGAAGGAGGCCTATAATCCCTACCATGTAAGTTGAGGAAGGAGAATCACTTGAACCCAGGCGATGGAGGTTGCAGTGGGTCGAGATCAGACTGCTTCACTCCAGCCTGGGCGAAAGTGAGAAACTCCATCTCAAAAAAAAAAAAAAAAAATTTAGCAGTCTACAGTGAAATAAAACAGTAAAGAAAAGGTTACAAATTTTTCATAAAGCTAAATCTATATAATCTATAAAAGCGTCCTTAACCCTAAAAATACATACTTCTTAATGTTTTGGTACTATCATGAAATGACCAAGACAACACATCACTGGGGGAAAGGGGTTCTAACAAAGTTACTTTGCAAAATAAGTTGAGTGATAAACCTAGTCTTTAAAGGCTGTGTGTGTGTAAACAGAACAATGTGATAAAGAGCTCTGTACCTACAGAGAATCCAGTCAAGCTCTGAATGATCAAATAATATTCTAGAGAGTTTCTCATACAGAGAAGCATAAAGATAGCATCTGAGTAGGTTTCCAAAAACCAGTATTAATGAATTTTGTCCATAATCATTTTGATGGTCACAGGTTTGAGCATGTGAATTTGAATCACTAATATATTTAAAGCATTACATGTGTTTCAACATTCAAAATTACATAAAGAAATCCAAATGTACTCGGTGGTTTTATAGCTAAAGGCAACTGCTGAAGAATGTTTCATTTCTCAATTTAAAATAGTATGGTACTATCTTTTAATATTCTAAGAGTTCTACCAATACAAGACTTCCATCCAATTACATTTCTACAACAGAATTGCTCTCTAAGGCATTTCATTTCAACTGTAAATGTCAATTTCATTATAGGACATTAAAAATTTTGAATGTCACTTGGCTCTAGGCAATTGGTCTTCATTAAACAAAAATGAAACCTTAACACAAAAATATATCTTACATAAAATTACTTCTAAATGTTTACCAACCAATGGAGAATCTTAAATACTAGGCCAGGCTGTGGCCGGGCGCAATGGCTCGTGCCTGTAATCTTAGCACTTTGGGAGGCTGAGGCAGGCAGATCACCTGAGGTCAGGAGTTCGAGACCAGCCTGGCCAACATGGTGAAACCCCGTCTCTATTGAAAATACAAAAATAAGGCGGACATACTGGCTTCAGTCTGTAATCCCAGCTACGTGGGAGTCTGAAGCAGGAGAATCACTGGAACCCGGGAGGCAGAGGCTGCAGTGAGCCGAGATCGTGCCACTGCAACTCCAGTCTGGGTGACAGAGCAAGACTCTTTCAAAAAAAAAAAAAAAAAAAAGTAGGCCAGGCCAGGCTTGGTGGCTCACACCTGTAACCCCAGCACTTTGGGAGGCTGAGGTGGGTGGATCACCTGACATCAGGAGTTTAAGACCAGCCTGGCCAACATGGTGAAACCCCACCTCTACTAAAAATACAAAAAATTAGCCAGGCATGGTAGCGCATGCCTGTAATCCCAGCTGCTTGGGAGGCTGAGGCAGAGAATTGCTTGAACCCAGGAAGCAGAGGTTGCGGTGAGCGAAGGTCACGCCATTGCACTCCAGCCTGGGCAACAAGAGCGAGGCTCCATCTCAAAAAAAAAAAAAAAAAAGTAGGCCACATTCATTCCAATTACAGCTAAATGAATTGTTTTGTCAAATCTGTGCCAGATTTATTGTTATAATCACGTAGCTCTTCCAAGAATGTCTTAGAAAAAGGCACTTGCTGCATAACAAAGAGTCTGCGCTAGGTTTAACTCAGACTACACTGCACACTGATACGAGTTTTTAAATTTGAGTCAATAAAACCAGAATTGACTACAGGTGTCACTACCATAAGACAGAAAGCATCTTATTGGCACTGCAGTTCTATGTTTACTAAAACATTTGGTTATTTATGTTAATTTTCTCAATGACTATATGAGGTAGCTTTCTTTCCTATCTGTGCTAACCTATTGGGAGGCTGAGGCAGAGAATTGCTTGAACCCAGGAAGCAGAGGTTGCGGTGAGCCACCGGGCCTGGCCCAGTGATGACTCTTAACGACTCCATCAGAAATCTGTCAGTTAATAAACGTGTTGCTCAGTTAGTGACGAGAAATAACTGTATGTTAGTGGTTAAGAGGCCCCATAATTGCAACATTTAATATCTGCTGTTGTTCCTAATACCCAGGCTGACTCAGACTGAGGAGCCCTCCAAGTTCCACTGTCTAATAAAGACCTGTCAAAGTGAAAACTCAACAGTGGAGACTCCAGAATGCATTCAACGGTTGTACCTGCTTTACATACATAAATAAACAGAACTGATTTTTGGGTTATTTGCCACAAGAAGATGCCTGAAAACAAGGCATCAAATGGTTTTGGAAAAAATACTCCTCTTTACAGTTAAGTTTAAATTAGATCAAGAATGCTACTTACAAAGATGTTCTGAATTAGTACAGGATCTCCTGATTCATCATAATGAACTTTTCAACCCTGTTAAGTATCAAAACTGCAGCACAAAATCAGCCAACATGCGAACTAAGGACAAAAGACAGTTCATAGGTCTTTGGAGATCATGGTTATAAAATCACGTGCCTGAGGACCACTAAGTCTGAGGTACACACCAAATAATGCAGCTCAAAGTAAGCAGAAAGCACTGTTCCGTGCTCAACCCACCCCCACCAACCATCCAAAGTCCATGCTGGTGCCCAGGACCCGTGAGTCCTTATCATTAAATATCCCCGCCCCAATTCCTCCCCAACTGAGGAAATCACAGACTCCTTGGCCCCAAGAATCTTAACTCTGGTCTTCATCATAAATGTCTCCAGAAACCTTAACACCGGCTTTTTCAGGCTCCCACCACCTAAAACAAAGTTCATAACATCCTGAGGGCAGTTTCCTTCAGGGCTTAGGCTCTCGACCACGCCCTCCCACCAGGCAGGCCTGTCTCCCTCCTGCCTGCCCCTATGGAAGGAAAGCTCCCCCTCCTTTTGGTCACTCTGCCTGGCCACTCTACTCACAGGATAGCGGTGTCGGGGGGCAGCAGGCCCGACAGCGCCCTCCAGCTCGGTGCGGGCAGTTTCCTGCGACTGCAGTCCAGGAGAGGAATGCGGCAGGAGCAGGGCGCGGGGCAGAGACCTGCTCCGGCGGCGGGCAACAGGAGGAGAGCGCTCTGGGCGAGGAAGAGTAACCGGGAAAGCAATCCAGATCGACACCCCAGCAACTGCTCCTCCGGGATGCCTAGGGGCGCGGGCGCCATTTTCCCCCTCGACCTGGACCTGGCCTAGATGAGCTGCCTGCTAGAAAAGGAGGATCGGCGGAGAAGCTCAGCAGAGATGCTCAGCGGCTGCACTGTCTCCCCAAGCCCCGGCTGAGGGCTGTACCATCTAAAGGCATGCAAGGAGCAGATGCAGCGCGACAGCGGGGGCGACGGCCTGGGACACACCGCTGAGGCCTGACGGGGCTCCTCCGCCCCGCCCCACGACGCTACGCCCTCACGCACAGGGGTCAGCCAATCGGTGCCATAAGACGAGGTTGCGTCCGGGGCGGAACTGAGTGAGGGGCGGGGCCAGACGCAGCCGAGATTCTTTAGGAGGAGGACTTTAAGGTGTTCAGGGACTTTAGGTGTCGCTGTGGAATTCCGCCGCTGTTCTTCCGCTGCAGGGCGCAGTAGTTCCTTAAGAGGGAATGGTGCGGCAAATCGCTGTGAGTTCAAAGTCCTGACTACAGGTCTATCTACTATAGTTGTAGAAAAGGATCTTTTATTTGCTCTGGGCTTTAAGAAAGCGGAGTGGCAGAAGGGCTACCTTCCAAGTCGCAGACACGAATGAGTCACGGGAGTTTCTATCCTGGCTTTGGCCAGCTCGTCCTCCAGAGCCGAGCTCGAGTCTCTTCTGCCCTCTGCTGCTTGACTGTAGCCCCGGCTCTTCTGCAAGTAGGCGGCAACTCCCACTTGCATGTGATCAGTATCACTCTGTTAATGGCCGTGTAAGCTCCTGAAAACAGAGGCTCCGTTTCTTCATCGGTGCGCCTCCACCTTTTGATCTAGCTTGGAGTTCAATAAATTTTGGTGGGACTGCACCTGCTTGTCTATACAAGGGAAACACCCTTCTGTTTGGAGGGATGCTGTCATGGTCACTCTCAGAAAAGCAAGCGAGACAAGTAAAGAGGGTGTTGAGCAGTCAACAAAGCAAAGACTGGATGTGAGGAAATTTATTTCTCCTAAAGCAGAGGCTATGGAAAACTTACTAGGAACAGTGAAGTCTGACCACCTTAAGACTTTGAGAATAATAGTAATGGTTCACTTATATGTAGGGAACTTTTCAAAGGGCATTTGCTCTGTTACCTTGTTTGCTCCTTCAATGACAGTGACATTGGCAAGACAATTATTGCTGATGATGAAACAAGCCCAAAGAGATTAAACCAGGTTACTCTGAGGCAGGGGCAGGTTCGACATTAACATGGGTTTTCTGACATAAATTGAAAATCTGAGCAGGTTAAAAAGAATGATAATGCCTAGATTAGGGTTCTCTTAGAAAGTAACTGAAAGCAATCTTTGCCATGGCAGATTATGGAGTCATAATTATGTTTTTAAAAACCTTTTTCTGTTTTTTTTTTTTTAATATTGAAGTATCTATTGGAAACAAGGCCATATCCAATGCTCCAGCCCAAACCAAACATTTAAAGCCAAGACAGCAGAATGAAACGTACTCTTAACCTCCTTCCCTTAGCTGTTGAGCAGACTTAACAAACTCTGGTAAGAAATCCAGCACAGGCAGGAACCCCACCAAAAAAAAAAAAAAAAAGGAGGCAGTTTAGTTCCTTTCTGCATTATAGTTTCAGAGCTTTCCTATGAAACTATACCAAATGGGGCCATTAGAAATTAATGCTTTCTAGCCTGTATCCTCCCCAATAAGTGGTTCACTGCAACCTCCGCCTCCCGGATTAAGCGATTCTCCTGCCTCAGCCTCACAAATAGCTATGACTATAGGTGTGCACCACCATGCCCGGCTAATTTTTGCATTTTTGGTAGAGACAGGGTTTCACCATGTTGGCCATGCTGGTCTCAAACTCCTGACCTCAAGTGATCCACCCACCTCAGCCTCTCAAAGTGTGGAATTACAGGCATGAGCCAACCTGATTGCCCACAGATACATGTTTTTGTTGGGTTTTTTTTTCTTTTTAAGACGAAGTTTTGCTCTTGTTACCCAGGATGGAGTGTAGTGGCACGATCTTGGCTCATCGCAACCTCTGCTCCTGGGTTCAAGCGATTCTCCTGCCTCAGCCTTCTGAGTAACTGGCATTACAGTCGTGCGCCACCATGCCCGGCTAGTTTTGCATTTTTAGTAGAGATGGGATTTCTCCATGCTGGTCAGCTGGTCTTGAACTCCCGACCTCAGGTCATCCGCCTGCCTCAGCCTCCCAAAGTGCTGGGATTACAGGTGTGAGCCACCACTCCCAGACACGAATACATGTCTTTTACAGAATTTAGTGATTCATTTCTGATTAACAATGGAATATAGGGTTTTTATATTCATTGCCCTCAATTGTCTAATTAATCTGTGGGTGCTAAGGTACCTGGGCCGAGATTTTAGAGTTCAGTGGAATCCATAAGCACAGTATACCCCAACTCCAGATTACTTAAAAAAAAACAAAAAACTACTTACTTGATATCCCTTGTTCCACACCTTAGCATAAACACCAATCCCTTACAATTTAGCTGCCCTATATCTCCTTACCTCAGGACTTTACTCTTTGCAAAGTCATAGCTAACTAACCTTATCAGTTCTATTCTGTCAAACTAGAAGTCTCAGGATTGCCTGTGCTTTCCTCCCATTCTTTCCTGTCACATCCAGTCAGTAGACTCTCTTGATTCCCCCTCTGGAATGTCTCAGATCTTTCCCCAGCTCTCCTTCCCCACTGCTACTTAGTTCAGACCTTCATCTCATATGACTAGTATTCCAATAACCTTTGAACCCATGTCCTGTCCTCCAGTCTCTCCTGTCTCCAAGTCTCTAAGCTGTCACTAGAATTATCTTTCCAAAGCATACTGTTACAGGTATGTTTTGTCATTTTATATCTCCATTGCTAAGAGCAGTGTCTGGAATATAAGCAACACTGAATAAATATTTATTGTTGACTAAATTACTGTTAATTTGGCTGGGTGCAGAGTGGCTCATGCCTATAATCCCAGCAATTTTGGAGGCCAAGGCATGCAGATTACTTGAAGTCAGGAGTTCGAGACAAGCCTGGCTAATATGGCAAAATCCTGTCTTTACTAAAAATACAAAAATTAGACTTGGTGCTGCACGCCTGTAATCCCAGCTACTGGGGAGACTGAGGCACGAGGATTGCTTGAACCTAGGAGGCGGAGGTTGCAGTGAGCCGAGATTGCACCATTGCACTCCAACATGGGCAACAGAGCAAGATTCCATCTCAAAAAAAAAAAAAAAAGCCGGGCACAGTGGCTCACACCTGTAATCCCAGCACTTTGGGAGGCCGAGGTGGGCAGATCACGAGGTTAGGAGATCGAGACCATCCTGGCTAACGTGGTGAAAACCCATCTCTAGGCTGGGCGCGGTGGCTCAAGCCTGTAATCCCTGCACTTTGGGAAGCCGAGACGGGCGGATCACGAGGTCAGGAGATCGAGACCATCCTGGCTAACACGGTGAAACCCCATCTCTACTAAAAAATACAAAAAAAAAAAAAAAACTAGCCGGGCAAGGTGGCGGGCGCCTGTAGTCCCAGCTACTCGGGAGGCTGAGGCAGGAGAATGGCGTAAACCTGGGAGGCGGAGCTTGCAGTGAGCTGAGATCCGGCCACTGCACTCCAGCCTGGGCGACAGAGCGAGACTCCCTCTCAAAAAAAAAAAAAAAAATTACTGTTAATTTCACTGCTTCTCTGTAAATATGCCCAAATCTAGTGAGAATGCATTTTTGTCTCCTTCCATCTCTTCCTTCACCTATCTCCTTTTCCCACTAAAACAAAGGAGAAATAATGATAATAATTGTAACTACTATTTATTGAAGTGAAACCTAAAGCCAGAAAAAATAGATAAATTGTACTTCATCAAAATTAAAAACAGTTCATTAAAGGACAGTATCTACAGAGTGAAAAAGTACCCCATGTGATGGAAGAAAAGATTTGCAAATCATATATCAGATAAGGGATTAGTATCCAGAAAAACAAGTAACTCCTACAACTCAACAACAAAAAAGCAACCCAATTTAAAAATAGGCAGAGGACTTGAATTCCTCCAAAGATACACAAATGACCAATAAGCACAAGTAAAATATGCTCAAGATCACTAATCATTAAGGAAATCCAAATTTAAACCACAATGTGATACTACTTCACATCTGTTAGGATGGCAATTATATATATATGATATGTATATGTATAGAAACCAGAAAATAACAAGTTTGGTTAGGATGTGGAGAAACTACAATTCTTGTACATTCCTGGTAGGAATGTAAAATGGTGTAGCTGGCTGGGTATGGTGGCTCACACATGTAATCCTAGCACTTTGGGAGGCCAAGGCGGCAGATCACCTGAGGTCAGGAGTTTGAGAGCAGACTGGTCAACATGGTGAAACCCCATCACTGCTAAAAATACAAAAAGTAGCTGGGCCTGGTGGTGCATGCCTGTAATACCAGCTATTTGGGAGAAGAATCAAAGGCAGAAGATTCTTCTGAATCAAAGAAGATTCAAAGAAGAATCAAAGAAGAATCAAAGAAGATTCAAAGAAGATTCTTCTTTGAGGCAGAAGAATCACGAACTCAGGAGGCGGAGGTTGCAGTAAGCTGAGATGGCGCCATTGCACTTCAGCCTGGGCAACAGAGCAAGACTCCATCTCAGAAAGGAGAGGAGAGGGGAGTGGAGGGAAGGGGGGGCGGGTAAGAGAAGGGGAGCGGAGGAGAGGAGAGGAGAGGGGAGGCTGTGGAAAATCATACAGTATTTCCTCAAAAA